TGTGTGTGTGTGTGTGTGTGTGTGTGTGTATTTTTCCCCCCTATTCCTCACCCTCTGCCATTTCCCATGCTCCTCCTTGTTTTTTTTAACCTGGTATGAAAGGAAAATAGTGAGATTTCCACCTTGTATTTCAAAGTTACCAAACTAGACTTTGTAATCTTCCCCCAACTCAGTTAATAGTAACTGCTCAGGTCAAAAGACAGTCATTCCTGAGACCAGCAGTTAGTGTAATGGCTATGTCGCTGGACTCCCACATAGTCGACCGCGGTTCGCGTCCCGGACCCGGTGGCTTAAAACTCACGCCCGGTGCATGTGGGTGCGTTCCCAAGATCCCAAGAGAAGAATGGAGGAGTAGGGATTGCGGCGTGACCATCCCCCCTGGGGGGTGATTTCTCGCTTTCTGTCTCTCTGTCTCTCTGTCTTTCTGGCAAGCACACACACCCTATAGCAAAAACCTCTCCCAAAAAAAAAAAGACAGTTATTCCTTTAAAATTAATTAATTACATTACATTAAATAACATTCTAAGGGGCCAGCAGGTGGTGTGGTGATTAAGGCACTAGACTCAGGGACCAGCAGGTGGCGTGGTGGTTGGGGGCACTGGACTCCCACATGGACGACCATGGTTCGAGTCCCGGACCTGGTGGCTTGCTTTTTCACTTTCTCTCTCTCTTGCTCTGTCCCTCACTTGTCAAAATGAAGTAAAATAAATGAGTAAATAAATAAAGTTAAATAAAATAATGTTTTTAAAAAAAGGCACTAGACTCCCACATGGGTGACCATGATTCAAGTCCCAGACCTGGTGGCTTGCTTTCTCACTTTCCCTCCCTCTTTTGCTCTCTGTCTCCCTCTAGTGGGTGCATGTGCCCTGTAACAAAATTTAAGACAACAATAATAATAATAAATAAAATTAAATAATTTATTTAGTAAAAGTTAAACATTTTTAAGATTTAACTGACAACATTTATACACATTAAAGGTACAATATGATGATCTGATATACATATACATTGTGTAACGATTGCCGCAATCAAATGAATGCATCCATCACCAAAAAGAATTACCACTAGCATTCATATGTGCTTGGCTGTGTATGTGTATGTATGGGTGTAAATAAGGACATTTAAAGTTGTTCTATTATTGAATTTTAAGTAAAAAATAAACAGTATTAGTAACTATAGTCACCATATGTACAATAGATCCCAGAATTTATTCTTATTTTAACTTAAACTTTGTATCTTTTGATCAAAAATTTCTCTCTTCCCTAAGCCCCCAGTCTGAGGCAATTACCATTCTACTCTCTGCTTCTGTGAGTTTGACTTGTTTAGATTCATATATAACTGATATCACACAGTATTTGTCTTTTGGTGCATGACTCTTTTGTACTTAGCATAATGTACTGCATATACACTCATCCACGCAATTTTTCTTGAGCTTCCCTTTCTGTCTGGTCTACAACCAGTCCATCAGCCAATCTTCTTAGCTCTCCTTCAGAATCCATCCAAAATCTGATTTCAAAAGACTACTCCTGGTGGAACCAGCAGTTAGCGTAATGGCTATGTCGCTGGATTCCCACGTAGTCGACCACAGTTCGCGTTCTGGACCCGGTGGCTTCAAACTCACGCCGGGCGCGTGTGCGTGCGTGCCCAAGATCCCGAGAGGAGAATGGAGGAGAAGGGGTTGTAGCGTGACCATCCCCCCTGGGGGGTGATTTCTCGCTTTCTGTCTATGTCTCTCTCTGTCTGTCTGGCAAGCGCACACGCCCTATAGCGAAAACCTCTCCAAAAAAAAAAGACTACTCCTGGGACCAGCAGATGGCGTAATGGTTATGTGGCTGGACTCCCACATGGTCGATTGCAGTTCAAGTCCTGGACCCAGTGGCTTAAAACTCACACCAGGCACATGTGCCTGCATGCCCAAAATCCCAAGAGAAGCTGAGAAAAAAAGACTGCAGCATGGCCATTTCCCCCCACCCCACCCGGCAGGGCTGGGGGTGATTTCTCGATTTCTGTCTGTCTGATGAGCGCACATGCCCTATAGCAAATAAAACTCTTTTCTTTTCCTTTTTTTTGGAGAGATTTTTTTTTTCTTTTTTTGCTATAGGCCGCAAGCATTCACCAGAAAGACAGAGAGAGACAGAGAGACAGGGGGAATGGCCACGCTTCAATCCCTTCTCCTCCATTCTCCCTTCAGGATCTTGGGCACACCTACACACGCGCCCGGCATGAGTTTATGCCCTGGGGCCCAGGACTCAAACCACGGTCAACTACATGGAAGTTCAGAGACATAGCCACTACGCTAACAGCTGGTTCCCCCAAAAAATAAATCTTAAAAAAAAAGACTAAACTACCTCTTATCCAAGGCTTTTACTACCATCACCCGGGTCCAAGCTATTGTATTATCATCATATCTTTCCTGGATTATTGGCATACACTCTTCCTGCTTTCAGTTTTCTGTTCTCTACAGAACAAAGTAGCTTTCTGCCTCAGAGCAAAAGGCAAAGTCCTTACATAGCCTAGCAGGCCTCCAGACTCCCTTTTGCTCTCTAACCAATATCCACCCATCTCTCCCTTCCTCTTCCTTTTCTGATTACACTGTCCTCTTCATCCTCTTCTGTAGTCCTTAAATCTTAAGAGGTAGCATATTCAGAATTTTCAGTCTCTGATTTGAGGTTGTCCAGAGTCCTCAATCTCTTTTGGGGAGACAATGTCCAAAAGCCTCAAACTCTGGGGAAGGGGATTCAGAAACTCGAGGTGAGGGTGTTTGGATGCCTCAATATCTGGTGGGAGGGGGGTCAAGATGCCTCACTCACTTAGGTGCACCTGCCCAAATTCCCCAGGTGTCATTATTGCCCTCTCATTGCACTGCCTATTCCCCAGGATGCAGGGTCTATGAGGACTCCGGGGCTGGTGTCTGTTGAATCACTGGCTCAGCAGTTGGCCTGTCTCTTCTGCCTTTCCCATGGGTGTGATGGAGCAATAGCAGGGCCTCAGGCAAGTGGTCTACCAAACTACCATACAGGTTGTACCAAACTCTAGCTGAAGCTCTGTTCCCAAGATGACACCATGAAGTTCAAGCTTGGGTCCCAAGGACAGGGTGGGGATCTAGTGTGTGTTCCTCTTCTGGCTTAGGGCTCCCACAAGGACTCTGGGCCACTCTCTAGCCTGGACTTGAGATCCGTGTTGAATTTGTGGCTCTTCTTAAGTTGATTGTGCAGGCATCCAAGTTGGGAATGGAGAGTCCTGAGGTATTCTGTTTACCTCTTCCACACAGTGGACAGCTGCCTTCAGCTCTGGGATCCTCACAGTCCAGTAGTTTGTATCCTTGTATGTGCGTTCACCTTGCCAGAGAGACAGAGAGACAGAAAGTGAGAAATCACCCCCCCAGGGGGGATGGCCACGCTTCAATCCCTTCTCCTCCATTCTCCCTTCAGGATCTTGGGCACACCTACACACGCGCCCGGCATGAGTTTATGCCCTGGGGCCCAGGACTCAAACCACGGTCAACTACATGGAAGTTCAGAGACATAGCCACTACGCTAACAGCTGGTTCCCCCAAAAAATAAATCTTAAAAAAAAAGACTAAACTACCTCTTATCCAAGGCTTTTACTACCATCACCCGGGTCCAAGCTATTGTATTATCATCATATCTTTCCTGGATTATTGGCATACACTCTTCCTGCTTTCAGTTTTCTGTTCTCTACAGAACAAAGTAGCTTTCTGCCTCAGAGCAAAAGGCAAAGTCCTTACATAGCCTAGCAGGCCTCCAGACTCCCTTTTGCTCTCTAACCAATATCCACCCATCTCTCCCTTCCTCTTCCTTTTCTGATTACACTGTCCTCTTCATCCTCTTCTGTAGTCCTTAAATCTTAAGAGGTAGCATATTCAGAATTTTCAGTCTCTGATTTGAGGTTGTCCAGAGTCCTCAATCTCTTTTGGGGAGACAATGTCCAAAAGCCTCAAACTCTGGGGAAGGGGATTCAGAAACTCGAGGTGAGGGTGTTTGGATGCCTCAATATCTGGTGGGAGGGGGGTCAAGATGCCTCACTCACTTAGGTGCACCTGCCCAAATTCCCCAGGTGTCATTATTGCCCTCTCATTGCACTGCCTATTCCCCAGGATGCAGGGTCTATGAGGACTCCGGGGCTGGTGTCTGTTGAATCACTGGCTCAGCAGTTGGCCTGTCTCTTCTGCCTTTCCCATGGGTGTGATGGAGCAATAGCAGGGCCTCAGGCAAGTGGTCTACCAAACTACCATACAGGTTGTACCAAACTCTAGCTGAAGCTCTGTTCCCAAGATGACACCATGAAGTTCAAGCTTGGGTCCCAAGGACAGGGTGGGGATCTAGTGTGTGTTCCTCTTCTGGCTTAGGGCTCCCACAAGGACTCTGGGCCACTCTCTAGCCTGGACTTGAGATCCGTGTTGAATTTGTGGCTCTTCTTAAGTTGATTGTGCAGGCATCCAAGTTGGGAATGGAGAGTCCTGAGGTATTCTGTTTACCTCTTCCACACAGTGGACAGCTGCCTTCAGCTCTGGGATCCTCACAGTCCAGTAGTTTGTATCCTTGTATGTACGCTCTCACTTTCTGTCCCTCAGGGTATCTCCCTACTTCCTTGCTGTGTTCAGGTTTTCTCTCCTTGCTCCCCTATTTGAAGTGTAGCCAGTTACCCAGTTATTTTGGTATTTTTCCATGGAGAAGACATCCACTGGATGTCTCTAGTCAGCCTTCTTGGAGCCTATTCTGAGATTTTACTTTTAAAATATTTGGAAACATGTATTGCATACATACCTTGAAAAAACATATTGTGGGAGCTAGCAGGTGGCATGGTGGTTAAATGTGCTGGACTCCCACATGGCCCAACCACAGTTGGGAGTCCTGGACCTGGTGACTTGTTTTATCATTTCCTCTCTCTCTTTCTCTCTCCCTCTCTCTCTCTCTCATCAAATTAAAATAAATAAATAAATAAAGTTAAATTAAAAAGTTCTTTTATTTTTTCAATTTAAAATTTTTTTTTATAATATTGTGACGTTTCTGTTTTTGATAAACAATATCTTAGGGACATGGTTCATTATTAGTCCTCTGAGTGGGTTTTTTTTTCTTTTTTACATTTTTTACTACATTTTCTTTTATACATTCTATCACATTATTTAGCTTACAAAATATTTCAACATGTGAACATTTTTAGAGATGTATGACTGAATATAAATAACAAATCATAAAATTTTTCAAAATTGAAACCATTTTGCTGCCATTCAATAAGACATGTGTTTAAAGAAATCTTCATCCTATTACCCCAATATGTTTACAGTAATGTAAGTATCTCATGGTGAATCTTGTAAACAATATATAGTTGGACACTAAAGGCCATGAAATTATCCTGCTTAGTGTTGTATACAACAGATTATCATATCCGTGTACGTGTTTTTGGGTCTGGGAAATTTTTTCTAAGAAAAAGTTATCTAATATTCATATTAATTTTGTGACTCTTTCAATTAAACAATATATGATTTATTTAGCTCTAAACATTTTCCACACAAATTAATAAAATTTGCTTATATGCCACACCAACTTAAAAAATTATAACATTTTTTACCAATCAGAAAGTCTTAAGCAAATACATCATTAATTTCCTTGAAAAAATACATTATTCTTATAGAAAACTAACCGAATTAAGAATTGTACCCAAGGGGCCACCAATTGGCATGGTGGTTAAGGCACTGGACTCCCATAACTGTGGTTTGAGTCCCAGACTGGGTTACTTGCTCTCTTTCTGTCACTCTGTCTCTCTCTCTGGTGAGCACAAGTGCCCTATAGAAACCTTAAAATAAATAAATAAATAAATAAATAAAATTAAATAAATCATTCTTTTTAAAAAATGTATCCAAATGTTCTATTCTTTATGACCAATAGCAACATAAACTATGTTTCCAAATCTTTCTTTTAAATTAAGATTGGATTTTCCAATATGTTTATGAAAATGATTAAACATGGTATATTTGCTTTTCTATTCATAAATGGTGCTTTTAAATCTAATGAATACTATATTAAAGCATAGCAATTGCACCAATTCATGAAGCTAAACAAACACTTCTCCAAATAAGACAAAAGACAGTCATGAAGCATTAACAGCTTTAGAATAAAACAGGCCCATTATAAAGTTTGAAACTACTTTTTAATTTAACAAAACTTAGACTGTGAGACAGCTACATCAAAAAGATATATCTATAGGGACCAGAAGATAGTGTAATGATTACGTTGCTGGGCTCCCATGTAGTTGACCGCTATTCAAGTCCCAAACATAGCTTAAAACTCACACCATCCAGCAATTCCACTCCTGAGTATCTACCCAAAGGACAGAAGAATTCTTCATCAGAAAAATGCTTGCACATCGATGTTTATTGTGGCATTATTCACAATTGCTAAAACATGGAACCAAACCAAATGCCCACAAACAGATGAATAGATTGAAAAACTGTGGTACATATATTCTACGAAATACTACTCAGCCATAAAAGACTACAAGACCCAGTCTTTTGACAGAAAGTAGATGAATATGGAAGATTTATTGCGGAATGAAGCAAGCCAGGCTATGAAGGAGAGACATTGTATGCCCCCACTTAATATATACTGAGTGTTCACACTCTATGACTAAAACTGAATGTCTAAAGGATATAGAAACACAGAAAATGGTTGTGAATACCAGATATAGTGTGGGAAGAGAGTGGGTTAAGGAGTAGAGCCTGAGAAAGGACATTTAGAAGAAAAATAAAGAGCCAAAGCATTAATAGGACAAAGAAATGGGTTATTAACTGTTGAAGATAAATTTACAGTATTATCAATTGGACTGGTGAGAAATGTACACATGTTGGAATATTGACTTTGCAAGCTAAATAATGTGATTGAATGTATAAAAGAACTTGAAATTAAAAAAAAAAAAAAACCTCACACTAGGCAAAAATCCCAAGAGGAGAATGGAAAAGATTGTGACATGGTCATCTCCCCAGGAGGTGATTTCTCACTTTCTGTCTCTCTGTCTCTGTCTCCCTGGTGAGTGCATACACTCTATAGCAAAAATCTCTCTAAACACACATACATATTTATATAATAAAATATATATTCATATATATATAATATTTTCTTATTTCCAGTCCTATGGCAAGTGAAAAACTTCTAACAGAAAAATATATATAGCTTGAGATTTCATATCCCAAAATGGTGGTAATAACCCTTTATGTCTGTAATGAAGAATTAACTAATTTAAGTAAAATATTTAAAATAGTCCTTAGCACACAGAAATAAATGTTAGCTATGGCAATTGTTATGTATAACAGCAAAATATATCAAATAAAAAGGTATTTTTACAATGCACTGCACTGTTTTCTTTAAATTTCATTAGAATTTAATAAAATTTCACACATTACCATTTCATCTGTCTTGTTTCTTGGAGACTGTTGATGTGTAATATTTGACTTTGTCTTTTCTGCAGTTTTCTGAGTAGCTGGCTTATATCGCTCTTTCATTTCAGTTTCATATTGCTGATGTTTTAGCTTGTATTTATCTGTTGGTGCCGATAAATTTTCAGATATTATGTCCTGTTCCTGGAGGTAAAAGGAAAAAGCATGATATTCACTAGGAAAAAAAAAATCAAAACAACCATTAATTTTTCTTATTGACATTAATGTGCTTATCATTTTGATTCATATTTATACCTAGGAAACAAATTATTATAAACAGGGTTTATATTTAGCTGGTATGGCAAAACTGACCAATCAGAGCAAGCACAATGGCTCAGAATGGGCATTGGCTTTACTTAAAGTAGCCTATGTTATGTTTCACAACTGATGATCAGTCCTGAACCTAAAAATATCTGAGAGTAGAAAAATCAACTTTTCTTCACATAGGCTTCCCCCTCCCAGAACTCTACTATCAGTCTTCTAAAATAGTCAGAAGAATTAAAAATCACTGATACAGAGACAAGCAGTTGGTGTAATGGCTATGTCACTGGACTCCCATGGATCAAGTCCGGACCTGGTGCCTTAAACTCATGCTGGGCACGTGTGTGTGCGCGCCCAAGATCCCAAGAGGAGAATGGAGGAGAAGGTATTGCAGCATAGCCATCCCTCCTGGGGGGTGATTTCTCGCCTTCTGTCTCTCTGTCTCTCTCTGTCTCTGGAGAGTGCATGTGCCCTATAACAAATACCTCTCAAAAAAAAAAAAAAAAAGTCAAAAATCACTGATACCAAGTAACACTGGTCGCCACTTCTGGCCTATTTTGGCATTCTACCTTAGAAGGTATTATTTGGTTCCCTGCCCCATTTCCATGGAAGTGAGAGGCAATGAAGTCAGAGGCTGAAAAAAATCTAAAGGAAGTAATAAACAAGTACAAAAAGAGAGAGAGGCAGTCACTTCAAAGGAAGCATTTAATTCTACCATATGATCCAGCAATCCCATTCCTTGGTATTCACCCAAAAGACAGAAGAATTCATAATCGGAAAAGTGCTTGCATGTCGATGTTTCTTATGGCATTACTCACAATTACTAAGACATGGAACCAACCCAAATGCCCACAAACAGATGAATGGATTGAAAAACTGTGGCACATATATTCTATGGAATACTATTCAGCCATAAAAAAACTAATAAGACCCTGGCTTTTGACAGAAAGTGGATGAATATGGAAGATTTACTGCTGAGTGAAGCAAATCAGGCTATGAAGGAGACACATTGTATATCTCTACTCAATATATACTGAGTGTCTGCACTCTATGCCCAAAACTGAATGACTAAAGGATATAAAAACATAGTAAATGGTTGTGAATACCAGATACAGTGTGGGAAGATGGTGAGTAAAGTAATAAGTCTGAGGAAGGACACTAAGGAGAAATATGGAGAGGCAAAGCATTTACGGGACAAAGAAATGGGTTATTATCTGTTGAAGATAACTTTATAGTATTGTCGGCTAGACTGGTGAGAAATGTATACATGTTGGAATATTCACTTTGCAAGCTAAATAACATGATTGAATGTACAAAATAAATTGAAATAAAATAAAATAAAAAGTGTTTAAAGCCAGTCCAACCTGTAAAACATATTGAGGGTATCCATGTATAATCCAGAAGAAAAGGATGAGGCAGTCTTCAGGGGGAAACATAGCAAGATACAGATTCATGGTGGCATTCATGCGATTTTCCAAATGAGATCAGGGAGAAAGAACATGAATAAAGCCAGCTACAAGAGGAATGCTACCAAAGACAGAAAAGTGAACCCTACTTATCAAATACTAGTCAGAACTTATATTTATCACATGAAATAAAACACTAGATATTGTTCAAAGTATGAACATGTCCCAAGGACACCTTGGAACAGGTAGAGTCAGTTACTCCACAATATCCTAGTCGCCTAAGGTATGAGTCAATTTCCAAGAGACCAATCTTACAATGTTAAAATAGGAGGTCTGATCTCATATTCTGCCATGTTTTTTTTTAATCTTGAATTTCACATTAGAATATACCTGCACTTTACCAATTTTTTTTCATGATAGAGAGTGCACACATACAAGTACACACATGAACAAGAAAAAGAAAGAAATAGAGAAAGGAGCATCTTCAAAGGGGTCTTATCGCATCTAATCCCCTTTCCCCAACCTTTCAGTAGGATCCTGTCCACCTGCACACACACGCCTGGCATGTTTTCAAAACAGTCCAGGAATCTGAACCCACAGTCAGCAATGTGGTTTCTAGCCTTGCAGGGTGGAACCACCGCAGCTCTGCCTCCTTTACCAATTTTACAATAGATTTTCAAAATACTATTCCTATATGTGAAAAATTGATAAGGCAAAGTGAAATCATTTCAACATTATAGTTTGAGATTTTAGTATATAAATTACCTAAACCAGGCAAAATGTAGATGGAACCTAATGGAATTTCTGGATTAAGAACAGTGTTAACATGTACTATAATTCTGACAGTTGGTCGGCCACAAGCACACAAATACAAACCAGTTCAATTATAAACTATTGAGCACAAGGTATTTGTAATGATGTAACTAAACCAGTAGCAGAAGATGAACTTGGTGGGTTTAAAAAGAATATGTGGTGAACTAAGTGGAATATATGGAAAATCACCCTAAAAAAATAAAGCTCAATGATAGTTAATATATGCTATATGAAATATTGTGTTTTAATACTTATTACAGAAAGAGTAAAATTTACCTCCTCATCAGAGTCAACAAGGCTTCCCAAATCAAGTCGGGGGACCCTAAAAGAAATAATCTATGCATCACATGACATTTTAAAATGAAACTTTAAGAATTGCTGATCTTACATATTATATCATAAATAAAAAGGTGCACTGAAGTACACTGGTGTGCTGGCTCCGAATGGCTTGTGATAGGCTTTTGTTTGATGTTTAATCGTTTTCTGGTCTTGTTAAGCAGAGCCAATAGTTTAAATTTAATTATATAAATGTATAATTAAATTATGTGAAAAACAAAAGTAGTAAATACTCAAAACTCATCACTTCCTAATAATTGTATGGTGTTTCACTATTATCTGAGGTCTAGAGGTTAAGTGTATCGTGTCTGTATGAATAAATAGTGAACATCTCTTTCCCACTCTGTGCTCACTAATGTTACATAGCATGAAATCAGCCACGGCAGGATAATTTACACTGAAATTGGTAAATGTCTGACTCAGGATTTGACTTACTATTTCATTGATTTATGAGGCTTCAGAAAGTGGTGGAGAAAAATGTTAGTAATGCAGATTAAATTTAAAAGTATATCATGTCTATAACTATTACACAGTGAATAGCACAAAACAACTGAGGAAATATTATTTCAGTATTCAAAACTATTATTTAATTCAGCAAATCACTTTACAGTAAATGAAAATACCAACCAACATTCATATTGCAATTATACTGGTTCATAAATTGTATCCATAGTTTTACTGGAGACACAGAGTTCAGGGAAAAAAAAAAAAAGAGAGAAGAAAGAAAGCCTTCTGTGAGAATCAATTGGCTGTATAGTATTTAAGTAGTTTACATTTTTATTAGTATTTGTAAACTTGCTACATATGCTACAGCCTTGCTACATATGCAACAGTCTTGCTAAATATCCTTTATATCAGTAAAAGTTGTAATCAACTTAAAATATACATAAGTTTGTTTATAATGAACAAATAAAACTTTCAATACTCTCAGAAAATCACTCAAACATTTACCAACACACAAGTAGACCCACTCATTGTTACATATGCAGTAGCTTGTATCTAGAACTTGAATATAATTCTGTCCTTTAGTCTAGATGAGCATATAGATATTTATTTCATAAAACCACACAAAAATTGTGGTCAATTTTTTTGTTTTTGTTTTTGTTTTTGGAGAGGTTTTTGCTATAGGGCGCGTGCACTTGCCAGACAGACAGAGAGAGACAGAGAGACAGAAAGTGAGAAATCACCCCCCAGGGGGGATGGCCACGCCACAATCCCTTCTCCTCCATTCTCCTCTTGGGATCTTGGGCACGCACGCACACACGCCCAGCGTGAGTTTAAGCCACTGGGTCAGGGACTCGAACCGCGGTTGACTATGTGGGAGTCCAGCGACATAGCCATTACGCTAACTGCTGGTCCCCTTGTGGTCATGTTTAATCTAAAAAAATCCAACATCATGTGGTTCAGACTAGCTAATTACTAAATGTTTTCATTTCTATTTTTTGAGAAGTCCTGTAGCCTGAAATATTTGAAGGACTATAGATTTAAAAGGCAAAAATATTAAACAAATTATATATTCTAGATCAAAAATAAAACAATAAGATTGACAAAATGGTCATATTCCTTAAGATTAAAATACAGATATATTTACCATTAAATTATAAAATAAAATATTTTATATATTTCATTAAAAATGCATTGAGCTGAATTTTCTAAATAGAAATACTTTAACTTCTTTAGAAAAATTTAACCATATATTAAAGAAAATAAAATGAAAGAAGTGTTACCCATAATACTACTTCCTATCACAAGATGTATCTTAATTTTGTCATAGTAACTTTCAGGACATCCATATACAGATTTTTCATGGTTCACAATCACAGCTACATAAATACTTTTACTCTCTTTTTTAACTTGTCAACATATCATATATAATTGACCACTAAACAGTTCAAATGTAAAGAAATGTGACTTACACGGGTGGACAAGGATTCTGGATTGCCTGAGATCTGGAAGCCCATCCTTGCTTTAATTCAAAAAGAAAAGAAAAACAAAGTGTGAATCAGTCTCTATAGATGCTTTATACTCTAAAAGCTCAGTAATGAGTCAACACAATAAAGCTAATTATAATTTTTCTCAGGAAAGTCCAGAAGAAATACTTAAACTCCTCTCTAGTATACTTGAAACAGAAATAAAATGATATGCAAGACAGATAATCCCTCCCATAGCATTCTGTCAAAGAAGGCATGTGCTCAAATAAACAGTAATTGAATAATAAGTGTATAACAGAGCAACGACATAACGTGTTCCTAACCTGCTCAAGGGAATTGAGGGAGTTCTGAAGGAGGAAGAGTAATTAACCAGATGAAAAGAGAAGGAAGAAACTTGCACTGTATAGGCCCAGAGGAGGAGTGAGCATTTGGGAAGGGATGTAATCAAGGCTCTCAGGACACAGGGACCAGAGATCTCGCATTGTAATAAAAGCTAAGGAATTTGGACCTTGTCCTAACCTTTAAGAGGAAGATAATGCAGAGATATATTCATGTGCTTGTAAATGTCCAACTTTATTTCTAAAAAAGACATGTGCAAAGACACGAAAATTATTGCCACCATGAAATAAGAAATATGTATAAGTTTTAAGAAAAGTTCAAGTTAATAAAAATAGGAAATAATTCACCAATCAGCACTTACACTGTTCTTTTGAAATGTTGCCTAATTTATGACTTTTTACCATATTGATAGCAAATGTAGAAATTATATTCAAGACGGTGCCTATCAAAATTATGTATATTCTTCTAATGAACAGAGATATAATTCCTCATTTAATCACTACCCTCCATATTTAATCATTCCTTCTTCTTTGAATCTTCATATTTTGTATATTTCCATAGCAAAATTTAACAATGTTGGAATTATAAATCTTGCCTACAAATCTAGAGGCCCTTGAGAGAATCTCCATCTCATTTACTGCTGGGTCTTTAACACGTAGCATTGTGCTAAGCATATTATGCATGCAAATCAAATTTTTTTAAAAAACGCAGTCATTATGATTTCATTTTAAATAAGCATAATGTTTGTTTTATGATCTTTCAAGACACCTCTGAATATAAATTACATTGCATATCCTAAAATATAACTATTAAAAGTGTATTTAGAGGGCCAGTCAAGTGACATGGTGGTTAAGGTAGCCGGATCCCGCATGACTGAGTGTAAAGTTCAAGTCCTGAACCTAGAGACTTGGAAAATATGTCAGGCACATGTGAGTGCACGGCCAAAATCCCAGAAGGTGAGGAGAGATGAAGGGATTGTGGTGTGGCCATCCTCACTGAGGGAGTGATTTCTCACTTTCCCTCTCCCTCTTTCTCTCACTTTGTATCTCTCTGGCTAGTGTACCTGCCCTATAGCAAAAAAAAAAAGAAAAGAAAAAAGAAAGTTTTATAAAGTAGATTTAGAGTTTTTAATAATATGGAAAGTACTTATGCTTTATGCTACATAAAAAAGCATGACACAAAATTATATATGCAGTTTATAATGGTGTGGCAATTATGCATAAATCCACCAAGACATCAATGGGGTACACCTGATTTTAAAAGACTGACATTTTCAGGACCAGCAGAAGGTGTAATGGTTACATCGCTAGATTCTCATTATAGTTAACCACAGTTCAAGTCTCAGACCCAGTGGCTTAAAACTTACGCAGGGCATGTGTGTGTGTGTGTGCATGCAAAATCCCAAGAGGAGAATGAAGGAGAAGGGATTGCAGCATGGTCATAGCTCCTGGGGGGGGGGGGTGATTTTTCACTTTCTTTCTGTCTCTCTTGTGAGTGCATCCACACTATAGCCAAAATCTTTCTTAAAAAAAAAAAAAGAAAGAAAAGAAATGTTGACATTTTCACCTGTGTACTATTTTTCTTTCTTAAATATTTTTCTAGACACACACACAATTTGAAATAACAATAATAAAGAAATAAGTTTAATTTTTAAAGGTAAACTAACTTAAGAATGGCAAGTTTTCAGATAATAATCATCTTCAATTTTGGTGGCTCCATTCTTTAATTATTTTTTTTCTTTAGAGAGATTTTTGCTACAGGGCATGTGCACTTGCCACAGAGACAGAGGGAGACAGATAGACAGAAAGTGAGAAATCAGCCCCCGGGGGGGATAACCACACCACAATCCCTTCTCCTCCATTCTCCTCTTGGAATTTTGGGCAGGCACGCACATGTGCCTAGTGTGAGTTTGAAGCCACCATTTCTTGGAATCCAACAGCAGTCAACTATGTGAGAGTCCAATGACATAACCATTCTGCCATCTATTGGTTCCCCATTCTTTAAATTTAAGAAAGATCAGTCTTACTATTCATGAATATAAATGGTTGTAAAAACATGAATAGTCAAACATTAATAAGTCACTCTGCAAAAGGAAAATTATATAGCTTACATACTTGCAGTGGCTTCTTTCTTCCAAAAAATGGCTGAGTTTGGCTCCTGGAAGAAGCAGCAACTCCTTTACTCTTTAAATCCATTCAAGTTCGTTTATCTACCATGCAGTATACTTTGGAAAAAGTAAAATAAATATAAAATGATTACCCTAACTCAAATTCTCAGTAAGCCATACAAATTACATACTACTACTATACGAAAAGAAATCATATGGTTAATCTTTTTTTTTTTACCAAAATCCACTGTTTATAAGGCAATTTGCATTATGTTCTATGGTGAGCTGAATAACAGGTTCCCAAAGAGGTCCACTTCTTAATCCTTAGGTTCTGTAAATATGTTGCTTTACAAGAGAAACAAAAAGAACACAAAACAAAAAACTCCTCAGATGTGACTGAAAATTTTGAAATGGAAAGACCATCCTGAGTTATATGGTGAGCTTAATGTAACCACCAGGGTCCTTATAAGAGTGAAGCAGTAGGGGGAGAGTGCAAGGAAAGAGATTAAAAACGGATAATAGAGAGGCAAGACATTTACGGGACACAGAAATGGAGTATTATCTGTTGATGATAACGTGTTTTGCATCCTCAACTGGATTGGTGTGAAGTGTATTCATGTTGGGTAAATTCAACCTACAAGCAAAGTGATGAATCGTGATTAAATGTATACATTTTTTGGGACCAGCAGGTGGCGTGGTGGTTAAGGTGCTGAACATTCCCACGTGGTCAACCATGGTTCAAGTCCTGGACCTGGTGACTTGCTTTCTCACTTTCTCTCTCTCTCTGTGTGTGTCTCTCTGGTCAAAATAAAATAAATAAATGAATAAATAAAATTTAAAATAATTTTTTAAAAGTATACTTTTTAATTTTCTAAAAATTTAAAAGGAGGGGGAAATAATAATACTTTCTTCGTAAGATTATTAAGAAGATTAAATAAATGCATCACTATTAAAAAAAAGAGTGAGGCAGGAAGAGCAGATTGAGACAGTGATGACGTAAGGATGGAAGCATAGGTCAGAGTGGAGCAAAGTGTCTATGCAGCTGGCTCTGAAAACGGAGGAAGAGACCATGAGTAGTTTCCAGAAGGCAAAAGAGGCAAGGAATGAATTCTCCCTTGGAACCTCCAGAAGGAACTAGCCCTGCCAACAGGTTGGTTTTGGTTCTTGAAGACTCATTTTGTACTTCTGAATTGTGAAAAATAAATCAATAAATAAACATACATTGATTCAAACCACTAAGGTGTGTGATCACTGTTAACAACAGCAATAGGAAACCAAAGCATGTCCCTCTTCTCTCCCAAAATGAGATGTACATTTATTTTTCCATTTCCCGAAACTTCATGAGTTATGATTTTGCTGGGGCAAGCTGATGGACTATTTTTAGCAAATAGTATTCTTCATCCAACACAAAGAAGAAAATAGAGCAATTGGCCCAATTAGTAATTTTATGGGGTGATTGGTAAAAATGCTGGCAAATGCAAGCTGAAAATATTGACCTGCAAATATGTACAAAATAAAAATCAGATGAACATATTTCTCATCAAACTTTTTATAGTTTATTTTATATTTCACTCTTATATTACCAAGGACAAGATTTTGTTTAAAGATTCATTCATACTTTATTTTCCTATAATTAGACACATTTTAATACTAGATCATTTTTCTTTAATATTTTTAATATTTTAAAAGGAAAGCTAATATGGCATAGTGATAGTATGGAGTTAGACCTAGAATAAAATCCAGGTTTTTGCCACTTTCCCATAATTTATATCTGAGTAAGAACTTAATCGCTTTGAGTGTAATGTTTTTTCCAGTGCATAAAAGGTGTTTCTAATGTGTAAAATGAATTTAATGTTGGTACTTTTCCTGTCCTGGTGGAATAGGTTAACATTCAATAAAGGATAGCCATCGTTATTACTAAAATGCATTTTTATTTCATGCCCAATTAAATCTTATTTGAAAAATATCCCAGTTCTTTACTACCTTATCTACATGGTTCCCAATTGCCCCATTGCGTTAGCCCCCTCTTCTAAAACACCTTTGCCATAAACCTGGAATTCTGCCCAAGTCAAAAAGACTGACAAACCAAGATTAGACCAAGTCAGAAAACACCACAGATAATCAAATGTGAGAATGAATGCTCCTGTGGCACTCCTGACAGTTTTCTTTTCAGAGCAATCGTTCACTAAGAAGCAACTTTATGATGGCCTTGGGTTTGGGTTATTTATTTATTTATTTATTTATTTATTTTTGCAAGGATAGGTTGGTTATTGAATCACAGGAGTTATGTTATTTGCCACTAACAAACCCAAGTTGAGGTAGAAATGCTGAGTAAATAGTGAAGTAAATGATTTTTCTCTCCATAGCAGCCTCTCAATTATTTATATCTTAATAACTATGCTAGTCATTTCAAGTTAGTGTAGATCATTTAAAATAACCACGCTCGTTTGCAAACAATACGAACAGCAAAGTTTAATCCCTCAGACATCCAAGCCCTCCTAGTTTCTGTACTTTGCCAGGCATGACAGTCATCACTCTTCACTGTATTTGGCTCCTTTTGTTTCCCTAATAAACTAGCAAGACTCCTGTCCTTAATACGGCATAGATACTTAATAAATAAGTACTTAGTAAATGAATAAATTAATGGCTAGCCCAATGCCTCTACACATTGTAGACATATTCTTAGTTACACAGCACTTAATAATGACATCATCATAATGCCAACATGCAAAGTGTATTCTCAAACAATTAAATAAGCACTGAATGGTAACTATTAAGTCTTCAGTAATAGACTGTAAGTCTTGTGAAGCGGCAAGATCTGGTTTTGTTCACCCTGTATCTCAAGACTTAGCAGAAAGCATAGAAAAACAGTAGACAATATATATTTATGAAATACGTGCATTTCCTCAATTCACATAGGAGTTAATTCAGAACTACATAGCTATAGTAAGAGTGTGCAGTTTGAGTTCTGGATCTGGCAGTTTATTGTCTCTCTCTTTCTTCTCTCTCTCTCTCTATATATATATATACATTTTTTTCAAATCAAAGAATAATAATAATAAATAAAATAGTAATTATTTTTAAAAACAAAGGGCAATGCCAAGACACATACATATAACATTCTGGGATCTACCAATTGGAGTAGTCTGTGACACTATTTAGAAAATCTTTGTTTTTTTAAGAATTATTTTATTTTGCCTTTATTTATTTATTTTATTTTAATTTGATCATAGAGGAATGGGGGAAAGGAGAACGTGAGAAAGCAAGCTACCAGGTCCAGGACTTGAATTGTGGTCTGCCATGTGGGAGTCCAGCACTCTTAATCATCAGGCTACCTGCCTGCCCCCAAAATCTTAAGATCTGGGCAGGAAGACTTAAGAGATTTAAACAGATCGACTTTCTGATTTCCAAATTGAGCAAGCGGAGACTCAGAAAAGTGAATTTTACTTTGCCAAATTGCATGCCAGTTATTGCAGAACCCGAATTCATACACAAGTGCTAGACCTTTTCCCTATAGTGCACGCTTACTGGTATAGATAATAGAAGATTCAGAGGAGACTTAGTTACCAAAACTAAAAAACATAAAGAACCTACACTTGGAATCACAAAATCCAGCATTTCAAACCATGGGTGTGAGCTTCTTTCTCTGGAATGGATGTCAAGGGCGGTCCTTGTCTTACATACAGCATGGAATATTCAGCTGAACATACTGGGGTAGGGGGCTGCAGGAAGAGGGAAGAGGAATTCTGAATGGCTTCTGTCCCACTCAGAGCTCTGCAAGTCATGAGATGTTACTGCTCTGACAGAACAGATATTGTTGACTGTTACCTTTAGTGCCACCAACCAGAAGTGAACACACCCCTCACTTCCCTCAGTTTTTGTATATGTTTAAGGTTTTTGCCAGAAGGCAGGCGCCTGCCCTGGCCAGAGAGAGAGAGAGTGAGAAGAAAATGAGAAATCACACTGGGGATAGCCATGCCTCTTCTCCTCCTGGGATTTTGGGCACATGTCCCTTCAGGATTTCTCAATCCTCCTGGTGGGGACTGGAGGTAGGGACTGGAGCTGCGGTGGTCCATGTAGGAGTCCAGTGACTTTACCTCCACGCCCCTTCCTGGCCTCATCACTTCCCTCAATTTCTTAAGGATGATTATTTCCAATTTCAACTATTGGTATCATCGTTTCTCTTTTGGCTAGTTATATTAGTGACCATGATGTGGCTTTTACCAAATCAGAACATAATGGAATGCAAAGGATAGACTAATCAAATTCAGTTCATAACTGAGAGACTTGTACATAGAATTTGGTGCTTAGGCTTCACTAGGCCAGTGAAACTGGGGTCACTCCTATTTTCAAACAAAGCAATATAATCATGTAATCATTTTTGTCCCAACACCACTCCTGCCAAAATTAACTTATGATTAGAGTGTATCAGAAGGGATTCTCAGTCCCTTGCTATCTGGGATTCCTGGGCAGAGGAGGATATGTAGCACAGCTAACCCGACTCTGCTAACAGTCTTGGTAAAAAAGCGAGTTCAGGGCTGAGAAGGTATAAACTACGCGATCCCACCGATCCTACTTCAGGCAGTTTCAGATAGGACAAGCTGCAAGGCCCCTTTCCCAGGGAAGTCCAGGCCGGCGTCTCTGGTTGCCCGGCAACTGGCGCCTCCAAGCTGCGCCCTTAATCGCCTGCTCTTACTTTCTGGCAGAAAAATGTCATCGGCGGAAGTTCCTAGCTCCTTCCTCAGCACCTCCTGTCCCACCAGCTGCGTCCGTTGTCCCTTCGTCCCGCCGCCCGCTCCGCCAAGACCTTGCCACGTTCGGGGACAGACTCACCTGAAAGCCCAAAGGAACCAAAGCCGCCAGACTGCCAAGGCTGGAGCCACTGAGGGACAGGCACCGAACGCCCATAAACCCCGGAGGGGACTTGGAGCGGACTCACTCACCTGCGCTTCTCCTGCGCCGGGAGAGGAGCAAAGCCCGGCCCGGATCCGTGGCTGTTGCACTGTAATTCTTTCCTTTAAATTCTACTCTATGTATTTCATAGAACACCTACCGTATGCCTAGGGTGATATATTTAATGGGAAAGTTTTTTAAGCATGAGCTGTAATATTCACTCTCAAAGAGCTTGTAATTATTTGAAAAAACAGGACTGCAATATAATATTATATAGAGAAATGAGTAGATATTAGACATAAATATAGTTACTACTTTAAATACATGTACACACATATACATATAGATTACTACATATATAATTAAGTACCTGTGTGTATAATTACAACATAATATGTTGATTTAATGGAAAGGGCACAGGCTTATAAATCAGGAAATCTCTATATTCTTCATTTTGTCATTTTTTTAAAGCCTTTGCTCTATCTATACAGTGTCTTTGGAGATCAGCTTCTCATCCGTAAAGGGAAAGGGCTGGTTTTAGATATTTCTAAGGTTCCATTTTACACCAATATATGGTAACTTTTCTAAATTACAGAGCTACATATTAGATACTCAAATTATAATAGAATTAAAGTCTTATTAAGCCTAATTCAGTTCTTTCACAGAATCATGTTATTTTTCTAATCTTTGGTATCTTTTCAAAATTACCTTCCCTCAAAATATATGTCTAAATATTCAGATAGGAGACCATTTTGGAGCAAAAACAGAAACACACTTTTAAAGTATAAGAATAATGAAGTCAGTGAGTAATGTAATCACCCCCTTTATTTCTTCCTGACATTTCATGAAATTATCTACCCATTGCCCCCATAGAGAAAGAAAAGCAAAACTGAATGGAAAGAAATCTAAAAATGAAGCAAAATATTTAACTACAACCTTTAAATAGATTGAATTCAGTATGTGAAGGGAAAAGAAATATAATAGGATATGCACATGAAATATTTTAGGGAGTAAGAGGCTATGTGATTAATTTCATGTTTCAATTTAGCTATACTGTGATGACCAATTGTTAGGTCAAATGCCAGTCTAGATGTGTTATGAAGATAGTTTTTAGGTATGATTATTGCTTAAATCAATAGACTGAGTACAGTAGGTTACCCTCCTTAATGTGGATAGACCTTATCCAATCTTTTTTCCCATAAAAAACATAATTCTGTCTCCAGAGTGCAACACAGAAATTCTGCCTGATTTCCAGCCAGATAAAACTGCAGCATCAACTCTTGCCTGAGTTTCCAGCCTGATGGCTCACCCTACAGGTTTCTGCCACTACAGTCATATGAACCATTCCTTAATATTTCTTTCTCATATTAATATGTGTGCATGTGAATGTGTATGTATACAGAGAGATTCATATATACCTGTGTGTGTATGTGTGTATATATATGTAGATAACTGTATATTTATACACATCCATATTCTCCTCTGATGTATTGTATATTTATACAGAGATGCATATATAACTGTATAAAGATATACATATGTATATCTCTATATATAGGTCTGTATATTTATACATACCTATACCCTTTTAATCCCACTACAATGATGGCTCAATACATGAATTTTGAGGAAACAATCAAATTACAGCACTATTATTAAAAACAATAACTAGTTCTATCAATTTTTTTTTTTTGGTTTGGTTTGGTTTTTGGTGGACAGATTAACTAATGCAGAACATTCAGTGGATGTAAATACATGTTCACTTGAATTAAATGACATAAATAACTTCGAATCACTAAATAAAAGCAAGTATTTGAAACATAGGAATACTAAAAATGTCATTTAATGTCATGTAAAGATGTTTACTTATTACTGAACAACGATATAACTGATATAATGGATTTAAAACAGCAAGCCAAATGAAGTTCATTTATGCTGCAAAGTAGGCAAAATAAGCAATCCAATGTATCCTGCTCGTTTTAGCATGCCAATGCAAGCAGTCCTTTGTCTGGACTGGACTAGTCCCCAAACAGTAGGTCCAAACTATAGGAAAAAAAAAAAAAAAAAAGGATAATTTTTTTTTTTTGGAGAGGTTTTCACTATAGGGCGCGTGCGCTCGCCAGACAGACAGAGAGAGACAAAGAGACAGAAAGCGAGAAATCACCCCCCAGGGGGGATGGTCACGCCGCAATCCCTTCTCCTCCATTCTCCTCTCGGGATCTTGGGAACTGCACTCACATGCGCCCGGCGTCAGATTTAAGCCACCGGGTCGATACACGAACCGCAGTGGACTACGTGGAAGTCCAGCGACATAGCCATTACGCTAACTGCTGGTTCCCAAAAAAGGAAGATTTTTGTCAACAGGAATTAGTTATACCTTTTCATGGGTCTCTTTTTTTTTTTTTTTTTTTTGGAGAGATTTTTCACTGTAGGGCGCGTGCGCTCGCCAGACAGACAGAGAGAGACATAGAGACAGAAAGCGAGAAATCACCCCCCAGGGGGGATGGTCACGCCGCAATCCCTTCTCCTCCATTCTCCTCTCGGGATCTTGGGCACGCACGCACACGCGCCCGGCGTGAGTTTTTTAAGCCACCGGGTCCGGGACACGAACCGCGGTCGACTACGTGGGAGTCCAGCGACATAGCCATTACGCTAACTGCTGGTTCTCCATGGGTCTCTTTTTATCTTTCCAGACATCTCTTCCAGATGCGAAAACGGAAGCAGAGTTTTAAATGTTCGACAAGGAAGTAATTTAGGATCACAGTATGTCACAAAGAATACAAACTGCCTATTCTTACTCTATTTCCAAATGTTGAGGAAAGGGACAAAGTTATGCTGCAGTTTATTGAAACAATATAAAAGCTATGTGCGGAAGCCAAGTCTATGATAATAACATACAGTGCTTTGCAGTCCTGGCATGCTGTCAGCATCAGATACTTGCTCTTCACCTAACGCTGTGTTGTCTACCTGTTGTAATTCGGATTACATAACCTAGGCTCCCTTTACAGTGATTCAGATTGGGATCTTCAGAAAGCACTTCAGGCGGTTAAAGGTCTACACCACAGGGACTGTGGGCTACGTGGCAGGCGAATCCTGGTGAGTCCCCGCCCCCATGCTGACACAGCTCAGAGGCTCAGCCTTCCGGGCATCCCCGCGCCGGTCTCGAGCCTGTGCAGGAGGATGGAGACAAGGGAGAGCGTGGTCCCAAGAGCCGGGGAAATCCGGCTGCCCGAGCCGTTACCGGTCCGCGCAGTCAGGTCACCCTTTGTGTCCTTCCATGGCTCTAAAGAAGGAATTTAGCTGCTTATGGATTTTAGGTCTCTCTCTGGTAGCCAGTAAACTTTTCAAAATCCCACCCATCACAGATCCGCACTTTATAGACCTGTGCCTCAGTGCCCACAATGAATGGCGTGGCAAAGTCTCGCCTCCAGCTGCCGACATGAAATACATGGTGAGAAAGAACTGAGTTCTTATTCTCTGGTCCACCCTAAAATGTCCGAGTCATAATTTTATGGTCTTATTTGTGTTAATTCGGTCTGGACTTTCTGCACCCAGCTGTTAAAGATCACACTTTGGCTGGGCTAGGTCCTCTAGGGTAACGGTAGGAGTGGATGAGAAAGGAAAAGCTGGAGCTCCTTTCCTGCCCGACTTTAGTGTCTTCAGGGGTGGGGAGAAAATGGGAGGTGGGGGTTGGAAGTTGCTTGCTCTTTATCACTTAGGTTTATAAGTGTAATTCTGTAATTCTCACAGGAAGGTTGATTGGTTTACTCCCATTTTCTGACAAGCACTTATCATCCTATATAATCAAGATATTATATATAAAAGAAATAGCAGAGAGATGAAGGGTCTCTTGCTCTTACCTACTTTTTACATCTTATGAACCAACACTACCTGTGTGGTATTCGCTTGAAAAAAAATTGGCTCAAGATGGATATGAATAATGAAATCACAACTTAAATAACAGATGGATGTTTTCATTTTTAAAAAATACATAAAATTTAATTCCAAAATCATTGAACTGATTGTGTCTTTAGTAGACCTCCATCACATAAACAATAAAGCAGAAGATAGTACTTTATTGAAGAATAGCTTATAAAAGCATTAGATTAAAATAATCCATAGAATTTCAGATTTTTAACAAAGTATTCACTATGACCTATATTACTGGACATTTCTTTTGCATTATAACATTTTCCTTTTTTTAAAATGATGCCTTTATGAACTTATATGGATGGTATTAGCACATTTTATGTACTATATAAATAAGGTGCCTTGTAACTCATATCAAGTCCAGATTTCTTCCTTTCTAGCCAACAGAAAATAAAAGGGAAGTAATTCTTAATCACTGCTGGTGCACCAAAATGAGTTCAAAATTTCACTATTGTACTGGATGGGAAAATGTTTTCTAAGAGAAAAAGAGTTTACAATAAGTTTACGGAATAAAAATAAACTGATAATAGATAGTCAAGGGCTTATGTTGAATAAGTGTATGACAATAAATTTGATGATATAGAGAAAATAAATGGAAAAATTTCTTGAAACAAAATCTAATATTATAAATTAATACCTCATTTTTGCTTCATTGTTAATGATTACTAATAAGTGCATAAAATACACTTACTTTAATGTATAACATTTTTACATATGTATGTTATCTGTGAAACTAACACCCAGATAAGATTAAAATATTTATTTTATATATGATTGTCAAATTATTTACCATATGTCTCATAAATGTTATATCTTCCACTATATATTTTATGAATATAAAATAACATGAAATGTTTGAACTTGGTCATAAAAATGTTGCTCTCTATTCTACTTCCTTGATTTATAGTTTCCATTTTTTTTAACTCTCATATTCATTGTCTTGTACAAATGAGAGAATTCCTAGGTTCAGGACTGATTTTTGACCCATTGTGTCTTTTTAATAGAAATATTTAAATAATTTATATGTGTGATACGTCAGGTTGTTCCTTTTGTCAGTCTGAACGACTTATGCCAATTATATAAATCAAATTTGGAATTTAAAATATTTTTACCCAGAAAAATCCAAGATCAGATGGCTTCACTAGTGAGTTCTAAGAAAAAAGTCAATACCAATCTTCATAAATCCTTTCAAAAAATTGAAAATGGAAACATTTTAGAACTTGTTTTGTTTTATGAATCTGGTTTTACCCTGACACTAAAATCAGACATCATATTACAGAATTACAAAATTACAGGTCAATGTAGATGTAAAAATCTTCAACAAAATAATAATTCATCAAATCTAGCAACATATATAAAGAATACTATGATTATATCAATAATGAAAAGTTGGGTTAGCATTTGAAAATTAGTCAATATGATCAAGATCAAAACTGGAAATATCATAAAGGGAAAAACTCCATATATTTCAGAAACTGCAATAAATCCTGACTTAGGTTGAGAGATTATAATTGTTGATTATAATTTGCCACTGTGAATAAAATAAATGAGAAAAAAATACATGATCATCTCTATAGATTTTAAAAACCTATTTGATTAAACTCAACATCAATTTATTATTAAAACATTCTAAAAAGCAAGCGAGAGAAAAGTACTCCATTTCTTCGATAGAGTGTGTTGTTTCAGTGACCTATTACTGTACAATAGACCACACCAAAACTCAGTGGCATGTAATAATAGCTGCTTCGGTTCACATAGGAGTGGGGTTTTTTGTTATTTTTTATATTACATTTAATCACACATATCTTTACAGTGCATAATATTTCACAGGAGTGTTTTTATGTTGAAAGGCTGTGAATCTTATCAATGTAGCTTTCATCTTCTTTGGACCAGTAGGCTAACCAGGTCATTTTTTTCTCGTGGTGAGGCAAAAGTGCATGAGAACAAGCCCAATTATCCAACCACTATTTAAGACTTTGGTCACATTACATCTACTAAGAATCCATTCGTGGAAACAAGTCATAGGGCCAAAGCCCACAGACGGATGGGGAAGGGGGAATATACACCTCTTATTGCAATAAGGATGTGAGAGAAAGTGAATATTTCTAAATAGCAATCTATCACAGGTATTTATAAAACACCTATATTAAACATCATGCTTATGAGTAAGCTATTAAAAACTTGTTAGTAGAGGGAACCAGCAGTTAGCGTAATGGCTATGTCGCTGGACTCCCACGCAGTCGCGGTTCACGTATCGGACCCGGTGGCTTAAGTCTCACGCCGGGCGTGTGTGCGTGCGTGCCCAAGATCCCGAGAGGAGAATGGAGGAGAAGGGATTGCGGCGTGACCATCCCCCCCGTGGGGTTATTTCTCGCTTTCTGTCTCTCTGTCTCTCTCTGTCTGGCGAGCGCATGCGCCCTATAGCAAAAAAAAACTCTCAAAAAAAAAAAAGGAAAAAAAAACTTGTTAGTAGAACAACAGAAACACCAATAAGTTATATAAAAATAAGACTTATTAAAGATACCACTTTTTGTTCATTTGTTTTAAGAGAGATTTTTACTTTAGGGTGCCTGCACTTGCCAGAGAGATGGAGAGATAGAAACCAAGAAATTGGCCCCCAGGAGAATGGTCATGTCGCAATCCCTTCTCCTCTGTTCTCCTCTTGAGATCTTGGGCACTAATGCACACGTGTCCTGTGTGAGTTTAAGTTGCCAAGTCCAGGAGTCAAACCGCAGTCAACTACTTGCAAGTCCAGCATCATAACCATTACACCATCTGCTGGTCACTAAAGATATCATTTGTAGTTGAATCAAATAATTAAAGTATAAAACAGTTTAAAATATAGAGGAAAATTTTAAATTATAAACTTCATAAAAAAGCCTTTAAAGAAAAGCTGAATAAATTCATCATATTTATGAATTAGAGGATTCAATAAACAGCATGTCAGTAAATAACGTACCACTTTTCCTCACCCATAGTTATCTACATGTTTATTGAAATTCCATTGAACAATAGCGTGTGTATGTATGTGTGTGTGTGTGTAAGTTTATAAGTATATTCCAACATTTTGAAAAATCAAAGATCCAACAATAATCAAAATACTTTATTTAGGCTATTACATGTTTTAGTCTCCTTTACCTTAAAACAGCTTTCTGCTCCCTTTTTCCATGGCTTTTTCTTGTTGGATTAATTTTTTAAACATTCTATTTTATTTTTTGCTCCAGTTAATATAGAAGTTAAGTATTCTGTTCTTACTCATTAGTGATTACTCTAGAAATTAAAATAAGATTATGTAACCTGACAGAATCTAATACTAACCAGTATGTTTGATCATTATCCTTTTTTTATTTTTTATTTTTTATTAATTTATTTTACATTCATTCACTGAGCATCATCACAGCATACAAAATGTGATTTCCCACCCAGAATACACTGCATAGTGGTTTAATCATACATGATATCATCGACAAATAATTTTCCATTTCTTATTTTATAAAACAAGAAATTTTCCCCCTATTTCTTACCCTCTGCCATTTTCCATCCTCCTCTCACACTGTCTCTGGTGTCTACAGTTGCTTTCCATTCCTTCCCCCCCAATATTTTATTGATTCACAAGATATCTTAATTAATCTAACTACTTTCAGTAGCAAGCTCTGCTGATATATACATATCTGTGAACGCATGTCTGACTTTAGGCATGAAGCTCTGAGTAGAATGAATATACTATAAAGTAGCACCTAGCTGATGTTATACAGCTTACTGCGGTCATTAAATAGGGTTTTTTTTATAACTTTATTTTAAATTTATTTATATACATTCACTGTACATAATTACAGTATGCAAAATGAGATTCTCCATCCAGAACACATTGATATTGGCTCAATCAAGGATATTACCATACGTGTTATCGTCAACAAATAATTTTCCATTTCTTGTTTCTTATATATTTTATTTCTCCCCCCACCCTTGATTTCCTATCTCTCACCTCTGCCATTTCCCACCCTTAGATACACTGTCTCTGGTATTTGCACTTGCTGTCCATGCCCACCTTTTTTTCACATATTATCGATTCACTAAAATCTTAATCTAAATATGTTCAATAGCGAGTGCAGCTAATATATACACACCCATGAATACATGTCTGATCTTAGGCATAAGTCTCAGTGAGTAGAATGAACATACTATAAAGTATACTTAGCTGGGGCTATATAGCTTAGTGCAGTCATTAAATAGCTATTTTTTAACTATATACAGTTTATTGGTTTTATATTCATTCACTGAGCATCATCACAGCACACAAAATGTGATTTCCCATCCAGAATATACTGTACAGTAGCTTAATCATACATGTTATCATCGACAAATAATTTTCTGTTTTTTGTTACATATATATTTTACCCCCATTTCTCACCCTCTGCCATTTCCCACCCTCATCCCACACTATCTCAGGTGTCGACAGTTGTTTTCCATTACTTTCCTCCCTCACATTTTATTGAATCACAAAATTTCTTAAATAATCTA